TAATCCCACTTGTCTATTTTGGGGATTATTGACTCTGCTTTGGGGGGTCTTAGTTAAGAAGTCTTTGCCTACTCCAATTTCTACCAGAGTTTCCCCAGTTTTTTCCAGCAACTGTTTTATAGTTTGAGCTCTTATGTTTATATCTTTGATCCACTTTGAGTTGATTTTTGTCAATGGTGGGAGGTAGGACTTTAGATTCATCTTTCTGCTGGTGGATATCCAGTTTTCCAGCACCATTGGCTAAAGAGGGGTTTTCCTTTCCCCACTGGATTTAATGGTACCCTTTGTCAAAAATCAGTTAGCTATATGTCTGGGAGTTTATTTCTGGGGACTCTATTTGGTTAAATTGGTCCACATGTCTATTTCTGTGCCAATACCATGCTGTTTTGATTCCCACAGCTTTGTAGTATATTTTTGGGTTAGGGAGTGAGATGCTACCCACTCCACTCTTCTTGTGCAGGATTGCTTTGGCAATATGAGGTCTTTTATAATTCCTGACAAATTGGATGGTTGTCTTTTCTAGGTCTGTGAAGAATGTCTCTGGCATTTTGATTGGGATTGCATTAAATATGTAGATTAGTTTGGATAGAATTGCCATTTTGATTATGTTAAATCTTCCCATCCAGGAACATGAGATGTCCTTTCCACTTTTTTTGTGTCATTTTCAATTTCATTTTTTGCTTCTCATAGTTTTCCTTGTAGAGGTCTTTAACTTCTTTGGTTAGATTTATTCCTAGGTATCATGCTTTTTGTGGCTATGGTAAATGGAATTACTTTTCCCAGCTCTATCTAAGTCTACCTGCTGTTCGTATATAGAAATGCTATAAATTTTTTAATGTTGATTTTGTGTCCTGCTACTTTACTGTATTCATGTATTACTTCCAGGAATTTTTCCATGGATATTGTTGGGTCTTCTATGTATACCATCATGTCATCTGCAAATAGAGATAGTTTCACCTCTTCTTTTCCTATTTAAATGGCTTTTATTTTATCTTCTTTTTGCATTGTGAGGACTTTCAGTTTTTTCCTTAAATATACCACCTAACAGATATATATAAGAAGAGCCTTCAAAAATTTCATGGAAAATCCATACAATGGAAAATCTATGAAAACATTTCAAAATTTTCTAAACCAAAATTAACTTATACTTTAATTCCTATTGTCCTCAAACTTTTGAAACTCCTTTGTTTATATTTATATACTTTTATGTAATAATACACAAGAAAAACAGAGTCAAATCTGATTAGTTACTAAGAAAATAATATGGGCCAGCAGGTGGCATAGTAGTTAAGGTACTGGACTCTCACATGGTCGAATGTGATTCAAGTCTCAGACTTGGTGACTTGAAACTCACTCTGGGTGAATGTGTGTGTGTGTGTGTGTGTGTGTTTGTGCATGCACCCAAACTCCCAAGAGGAGAGTAGAGAAGGGATTGCAGTGTGGCCATCCTCCTGGGGGGTGATTTCTCACTTTCTGTCTCTCTAGAGAACACACAGGCCTTATAGCAAAAATATCTCTCTAAAAAAAGTTCACAATTAAGCATATAGTTATGCTCATCAAAAAAATATTACTTTGTGTGCAATAATAATAATAATATATTCTCTTGGATCAAAATAAATTAAGTTCTTATAAAAGAAAATCAATCTTTACCTTTTTATACTTATTCATAGGCTAGAAAATATAGTTTCTCCTGTTTCTTAACTAATTCTAAATTTAGGTTAATTAATCCAAAGTAACAAAACAAGCTTCAGAACAGAAGCTAAACAGCTTAATTTATTCTTAAGGAATGTTTTTTAGATCACAAGTTGACTCCTAATGGATAAAGCAGTTTATTTTAGATTGTCTAAATAACTCTGGAAAATGTAGGAACTTAAGAAATTACTTCTCTCAAAGCTTGTGGCCTCTTGTGATCTGTTTTAAAAATAAAATTTCCAAAATATTACATAATGCTCTTTGCCTTAAATACTGTGTCATTATAGTCCATAAACTTAAATTGTTGTTATTATAGCTGTTTTGAGGATTATATGAGATGATAAACTCCTTTAAAGCACTTGACACATAATAGGGCCTCCAAAAAGATAGACATTATTGTTGTTAATATTAAATATTCTTGAATTTAACAAATGATACTGTCAGTTGAAATGCTCTCTCTGTGGTTTAAATGAAGATCCGGTCCATCACATATTTTTGCACAGAAATTTTCATTAGAAAACAAGCATTCTAGGACTACATTCACTTTTGCACAGCAATGGCAGAATTGAGTAGACAGACAACATTTGTATGTGAAACAATTAGGTAACATATACAGAAAGGTTCCATTCCTTTCTACTCCAGAGTGGATGGCCTATTCACTTATTCTATGGGGCTGACAGCATGGCCAAATGTCCATCCTTGGATAGGCTATGAAAGCACTATTAATGTAATCTGTAATCAGGATTTTTAGGAGCAGACGCAGATACTCCTCCCAGAGAGATTAGCATAATACCAATTACCTGTTGTCGTTCTTTTTTTCTTCCCTGGCATTTTCATCACCAGCCTTTTAATGTCTGATTCTAATGCTATTGTATAATTCTTCTACCTCACCCGTCTTTTCCCATCTCTAACTGGAGCCTTTAACTTTTGGGTCTCTCTTATGTTAAACATAGTAGTTTCTTCTACTCTTCAGTGTCCACACACAATCCATTTCTTACGTTTTTGCTACAACTTATTCTCTTCCAAATGCATAACTTCTCCCCATGGCCCATTCCAGAAGAGGATGTTCATGCTCTGATGTTCCAGGTTGTGTAATAAGTGATGATGAAGAGATGCCCTGCTTTACTTATGCCTCGACTCTCCTTTCAGATGAATTTCGTCAGGTTAAAGCATTCTCTTACTGCTCTCATTTGTGGCTGCCTCATCTCTTCCTCAGTTATTCTGACAACACCCTTGACTTTGCCCACTGACTCCACTCTTTTCTCTAAGAACTGACCTCAAGATGATTTCAATGTCCATGTGAAGATTCAGCTGACATTTTAGTTTTAATATTTCCTTCCTATTTTTGCCTTGAGTCCACAGTTAAATTTAAGGCACCCATATCCATATGACACCTAGATTTCATATTTTATTACCCAGAATTTCTCAAGGATTATATAAATACTGGATCCCACTCTCTGATCACAATCTCGTATTTTAGCTCTCTCATCCCATCCCTTCAGCTATGCCTGCCCCTTGGTCTCTATGGAGACCTTTGATAGATCACTTTTACTCTTTCATTCTCCTCTTATTCTCACTTCTGTTCATAATCAACCCAACTACATGGCGATCATTTCAACTCCTTAGCCAGTGACCCATAATCCTTTATTCCCTTGCTCTCAGCTCCACCAACCTGACAACCTGAAAGCTGGAAGGATTTAAATGTTGCCTTTCTCTTTTCTTATGTAAGATTGGAAAAGCCATGTATCTGTCTTTCTGGGTATCACTATCAATCTCAGTCTTAAATCTGTGTTCAGTTTGCTGTATCTTCAATTACTTTTTCATATTCTCCACAGTACTCTTCTTCTTCACCTTTTTTACTCAAGTTCCCATTTTACTTTCTCATAATTGAGTCTCACACAGAATTTGCTTCTGAACTCACAGGAAAATACAGAAGCCACCTGATGGGAATTCCTTCAACACCCTACCCCTGTGCTAGAAATAGACCTGCAAATACACTACTGGTCTTCATTTCTCTTTGTTTTTAATAACAACCCATTCCTTGTGTGCTTGTTGAGTAGTCAAATTATTTCTATTTTTCAGGTGTTGGGTGGATATAATATTTTCATGAGCCACACCACTGTCATTGGCTCTTCAAAGCACAAATATCTTTTTATTGTTTCCTATCTACATTTCTTGCTAAATCATAAATTTATATACCAGGTAGATGTTAGGCAGGTGTCACAGCACAGAGATTCTACTCCAGTGAAAGTTTGGTATTAATGATGTTTTATTATAAGAAACAAACTTCCATGAAGGGGAGAATTCATAAGTGACTATTTTAAAGGTTTTTTTTTTTTTTTTAAATCCATATAGAAGCTTACATTCAATAGCGCAGGCAAATGACTCTTTTTCCAGAAAAATTTGTGTGATGGTGGACTGAATTTTATTAACTGAATCCATTTGTCAATGCACTGGGAGGATATTGGGTGACTCAACTAAATGGAAAATTGATGTATTATACATGAATTTTTCATAATAAAAAATCAAATTGTGATCTTTCTGCCTAAGTTTATTTTTTCATATGTTGCAGTTATCTAAGTATAGTACAGTCATATATGGATACCTCCTTTAAATGATAAATCGGTTTCTATGTGTTGATCAATTTTTCCATAAATACGCAACCATTAAATTCTGAGATATACTTTTGATATATATTTTTCACAATGAAAACAAATCAGTGATGTCTGGAAATAACAAAGTTACTAAGTTAGTAAGAATTACTATTCCAAAATGCTAATATGGTATGTAGGATGCTAGAGAGATGCTTTTTTAGTCATTAAACCTACCTGCTACAGATTTGATACTTTAGTGCCAGTTGTAACATCTCAGATTCTACTGCAGTAATTATCGCATTATCTCTTTATATTTCCCTCCAGCCCCTTGGTATTGTTGACCTGACTTGCTTATGTATAATGTTCTTAATCGTGGTAGCATACACTAGGTGGGAAGCAAGCTAATGCAGTATGAGACAGGAGAAAAAAAGGAGGGGTGGAGAGGAAACAGCAAGATCATCATAGTAAGATCCAGGGAAAAAGGGTTACCTTGGCAACATGACATGCTGTGGGGCAGATTACTCAGGCCCATGGGACAGGACATGAATCAAGCAACTTAGTGACCAGAGAAAACACACAAGCAGTAGACAATGAATCAGCTTTGGTAGGAGTCAAATAATTAACGAACTGAAATGAGTTTTTACATTTATAAAAGGCACTCTCCAAGGGTCCCTTTTACCTTGTTCAGTGATCTTCACGCTCTGAGTGGCTTACCTCTGCGAGGTAGAACTCGTCGTACTGCCTCCTGAAGTTCTCGCCTTTGTAGTAGTTGCTAGCAGCAACGATCACATCCACGGTCACCATGCTCAGGATAAACATGTGGAAGACTGACGACCGCATCATTTTCTGAGGAGACAACACAGACAGACTCTTAACGAAGACAGAAGCCTCATAATGAAATGTAATTAGTGTGTTCAGCCCTTGATGGGCGACATCGCTGTGACCTACTGCTGTGCTTTGAAGATAACTTGGTTAACGTCTCATACTACTGAATGCTGTGAGCGAAGGCATCTTTTTCTTTAGACAGCTAAAAAATTACTAGGAAGATAGTATCAGAGACTTTTGGTTGAACATACAAAATGTATTTCTTTTCATTTATATAGAACTTGCATCTTAATTTTCATTGGTTGGTTGTGTAGTTTTACCCTTAATCCTGACTATATAGAGAAATTTTTCAGAAAGTTGATACTACAAAATAAGCTGTTTTATAAAAACATTGTAAAGATGATTATGAGACTGGAAAAGTGAGAGAAACCTACAATTTCTACATATTTTACTTACTGTTTTCAAAAATATTTGTTGAAAATTATAGTATAACTAACTATAACTGATGTCTAGAAGGAGTCTTCAAATAGTTCATGAAAACTTCATATTATGAAAAAACTATGCATAGATCTCCATTTTCTTCACCATAATAAACTTCTACATTAATTCCACTTTTCCTCAAACTTCTTGAAGTTCCCTTGTATAGCAATTACTGTGTACCTGGAGTTGCTCTAGGCGTTTTATATAATAACCTCATTTAACATTTATAACAACCTTAGAAGATTATTCTCATTTTATAGATAAGAAAACTGAGACTCAAACAGCTTAAATAACTATTCTACTGTAGCCCAAGTATTGGAGATAGACCCATGATTTAGACTCTAATCTGGTCCAAGTCTACTGTCTACACTGAATGGAGATTATTAAGGATTCAAAAATAATGAATATTATTGTAATGGCTACTATATATTGAATGCTGACTATGTTTCAGGCCGTATTGCGTTTTTTTTTGTTTGTTTGTTTTTTTTTTTTAGAGACTCTTTGCTATAGGGCACGTGCGCTTGCCAGACAGAGACAGAGAGACAGAAAGCGAGAAATCACCCCCCTGGGGGGATGGCCATGCCACAATCCCTTCTCCTCCATTCTCCTCTTAGGATCTTGGGCACACACGCACACGCGCCTGTCATGAGTTTTAAGCTATCGGGTCCGGGACACGAACCACGGTCAACTACATGGGAGTCCAGTGCCATAGACATTACACTAACTGCTGGTCCCCATTTTTTAATGTTATATATATTTTTAATTTCCACCATAGCTCTATATGGTGGGGTAGCTTACTCACACTTTACAGAAGGTCAAAGAGTCATTTGTCCAACCAAGGCCACATAGCGAGTACACAACAGAATCAATCTCTGAACCAAAGTCTGTTTAAAATGTGCTCCATGATCCATTGGCCACTTGGGGTACAGAACATCTGAGTGGAGGGAGCAGAGGTTGAAGGCCTTGGGCAGCAGAACCAGAAAGAGAAGGTGACCTAGGTGCAGGAGCTGAGCATCTAACAATGAACCACTGAGCCATGCCCCTTGGCACAACTGCACAGGGATTCTCTTTCTAGAGACTCATTTCCTCTTTGCAAATTAAAGAGCTCAACTAAAGCAGAAGCCAAGAATGGGACAAGAGAAAAAAGACTGCCTCTTGAGTGTTGCTGCTGTGAATCTCCATGAGTTTCTCAGGGTCTTCAATATGTCACAATCATTATTAACATCATGGACTCTGTGACAAACTGCTTGACCCTATGCAAGTTACTTCAACCTTGCTATGCCTCAGTTTCTCATCAGTAATGTGTATATAACTGGTAGCTACTCCAAAGGATTATTATTAATTTTAAATAAGTTAATATTTCTAAAGTGCTTGGAACAGTGCTTGTCCAGTACAATTGTTCTGTAAGAGTTGGCAGTAAAAATACATGAAATTCTGTGAATTAAATACAAGGGGTCTTCAAAAAGTTCATGGCAAGTTTGCACTATGTAAAACATTTCTTTCCACCAAAAATAAACTTATATTCTAATTCTATTTTCCCATGGACTTTTAGAAGTCCCCTGTATTTGTCTGCTCAGGAATGAGAAATTTAATTCTCAAGGTCAACTAATTAATTACACTTCATATCTGACTGAGTTCAGAACCAGAGAGATAAATAAAAGTGATAAGAGTTGAATAATTTGAGAGAGGTGAGAGTAACTGAGAAAGAAGAGTTTCAGTAAGACTTCATGTCACCATGACAACTGATGCATTCTTATATCCATTTGCCTTTGACTTCATTTTACAGGTAATATATAATCAAACCACAGAACTACCAATCAGCATGGTTATATGCACACATCAATTTACTTGCAGACACTACTGACCTTCCTAACATAGATAAGCAAACCAGTTTGCAAGTTTCTAGTCTCATTAGAATTTTTATTGTTATTTAGTCTTTCTTGTATTGTGAGAGTTAAATTTCATAACCATTATTCCTTTTCTATACTCTTTTCAACATAATGTTCTATTAAAAAACATTTCAACTGATTTCCATTTTATCTGCATGACAGAAAAGCCACAACTTTCTTGTTCTATTTTCCTTAGCTTTGGATTTATGTCTTAAGTAAACTGTTATTACTGAAAGGTCCAAACAAAGCTTTTAGCCATAGCTGTCAAAAAACTTTTAAATTGGTTTTATAACTGTCACTGCTTCACTTTGGTGCTGTCATTATAATTAGGTTGTCTTTTGTCTGAATGTCTATGTCTCCCTGTTGGTACAGAGTTATTAAAATAATCACTTACAATAGATTTTGATACACTATAATCACCATTGCTTAGTTGACTTTCTCCAAAGTAAAAACTTGCAAATATTAAGTAAGAATTAAGGTAAGTATGAGTGGTAGCTAAATTTAAATATTAAAATCAGCAGCTACAGTTTTCAAGAGTCATGATATAGAGCATCTCAACTCAAGTCAGTTCAATCAATGTGTGAAATTGGCTAGCAGTTTCCTTAATGTAAAAGGACTGGCGACATTACACTTAGACTCATGCTTATATCTACAGAATAGTCCAAATTTGTACCCTTCCATTTTCCTTTTCTAGTAAAAATTAATATAAAAGGAAATGGGAAACTTGAGTTAGCGCTACAGAATAGTATATAACTTGAGGTTTTCTTAATTGCATTATTTAATGTGAATGTAGAATATTTATATAGTGAAATGCACATATAGGTATATATGTGAATGTGTATGTATATGTATAAACACGCAATTGCTTTCAGGTGCTAGGTATTATTCTTTCTTTTCTTTTCTTTTCTTTCTTTTCTTTTCTTTTCTTTTCTTTTCTTTTTTTTCTTTTCTTTTCTTTTCTTTTCTTTTCTTTTCTTTTCTTTTCTTTTCTTTTCTTTTCTTTTCTGTGTGTGTGTTTGGAGAAGTCTTTACTATAGGGAACATGTGCTCACCAGGAAGACTGAGATAGGCAGAGAGACAGAAAGCAAGAAATCCCCCCCCTCCCCCATGGGGGATAGCCATGCCGCAGTCCCTCTTCCTCCATTCTCCTCTCAGGATCTTGGGCATGTACACACACATGCCAGACATGAGTTTAAGCCACTGGGTCTGGGACTCATTTGCGGTCGACTACATGGGAGTCCAGCAACATAACTGTTACACCATCTGCTGGTTCTCTCTCCCCACCTCCTTTTATTTTTTGTAGAGAATTTTGCTATAAGGCACATGCATTTGCCTGAGAGAAAGCGAGACAGAAAACAAGAAGTCGTTTACCCCTCCCCACAAGGGGGATGGTCATGCCGCTTTCCCTCCATTCTCCTGTCAGTAATTTGGGCATGCATGCACACACAGCTGGTGTGAGTTTCAAGCAACGGGTTCAGGCCTTGAATTGCAGTTGGTCATGTGGGAGTCCAGGGATGTACCATTCCACCATCTACTGGTACTTTGTATTCAATTTTTTTTTAAAGTTCCTTTTAATTTGCCATGTCATTTTTTTATTAAAAAAAATCAAACAAGCTTTAGATATGTGTTTAGTTTGACTTTGATCAAAGAACTGTATATGTTATATTCTGTATATGACAGTTGGAATCACCAAAATACAAAAATACTATTATAAAATCACTCTCAAGGCAGCAATACCTATCTGGGATGCTCTAGAACCTTGCTATTCAAAGTATGGTTCCTGGACCCGCACCATCCCAGGAGCTTATTAAAAACACAAGATCTCAAGTTCTACCCTAGACCAACTAATTCAGAATCTCCACCTTTAACAAGGTCCCCATGTGATTCCTGTGCATATTAAAGTTTGAGAAGCAAGCTTGTAGGGGAAACTCCTTGAATAGCCGGTTGAACTGGCCAGTCTATTAAAATTATTTAGAACCTCGCAATTTCATAATTCTAAAAGTATATAAAGATTAAAATAGACAATTTCTAATAGTGGCTGGAATACTATGTCAATATATCAGTACAGACTAACACAAAAAATAGATGCTATCCTTTACTTCCATCTCAATTCCATGATCAAAAATGAACTCAACCAGTTTGGCTTCATGAAGACAAGAGTATGTGTTGGTTTTTTAACTATTTGGGGCATTATCAGGACACCATCACAGATGTTTTCATAAAGTCAAGGAATGTAGGTGGCCTCTAAAAACTGAAAAAGAAAACTTTTCCCTCTATAGAGTCCCCCACAATAATGCAGCCCTGCTCATACCTTGCTTTAGTTCAGTGAAACCCATTGTGGCCTTCTGACCTGCAGGTAATATTGACTAGTCAGAAAAGCCAGGATGTATTTTTTTCTGTTTGTCAAAAGTCATTATTTATATAAAGAACAAAGATCAAGCAATAATATATTGCCATTTTGTTTGCCATCTTTCAGTGAGCTTCATAATTCCTTGTTCATAGAAGGACCTATTTTTATCTGTAAAAAACTGAACAAGGTGCTGATTTACATCCTCATCTGAATTGAACGTCATGCCATGCAAGACGTAATGCCATGCAAAGAGTTTTGAAGAGAGCAAAACAAATGGAAGTCTGATGGTGCAAGGTCAGGCA